GCCCGGACGGGAGACGGTAACGGCCCCCGGCCGGGGCCGCGCTGCCCCAGCAGCCGGCCCCTCGCGCTCCCGGGGCAGCGGCAAAGAGCAAACGCCGGCCCCAGCGCGGTGCTGAGTGCCGCGCTCGCGCTGGAGCACCGGCCCGGGGCTCCCGCAGGGCCACCTTCAGGAAGAGCTGCCTGTGAACCAGGCCAGCTTCCTGGGGGGAAAAGCACGAGGGTTGTTTTAGATAAAACTTGGCAGGGGGTGCTGCGTCTGGATTAAGTCAAAGGAAGGATTCTGTCCCAAGTCCTTCCCCCCTGGCCCCGGCCCTCGGCCACGGGGTTGTCAGGACCTCACCTCCATTCCCTCTCCAGCTGGAAGTTTTCAGAACTGAAATCTAAGCAGATTACAACAAACACTTAAGTCCTTGCCCCACTCGGAGGAGATTCTCCGGGAGATCGCAGCAGGCTGGCTCCAGGGCCGTGCGTTATACCACCGGAGCAATGCACCCAGTGAGATTCGCCACCTAGATTTCAGGGGCAAACTTCTTTTCTGAAAGGCTTGGAGAGTCTGAAAGTGGCCAGACTGGATCATTTTAGCTGCATCTGTCTTTAAATGCATATAGATGGGGGGGGAGAGGGGCGGGAAGCAAGGAAGTTTCACAGATGAGTAAAGCACTTTTCCCCCTTATTAACAGGGACGGTGTGATAGCTGTCAATAAAGATACTGGTGCCTTTACTGATGAGTATCTTCCAGAGCAGCGATCACATCTCTATGGAATAACTGCAGTTTATCCCTACTGCCCTGGAGGTAAAAAAACAAACAAACAAAAAAAAAAACACCCAACAAACCAACCCCCACTTTTTATTGCCTGACAACTGTTACACAGTTCGTGTGTTTAAAAAAAAAAAATTTCTCTCTGCAGCAAGAAAGTAGTAACTGCTACTTCAAGAAACAGTGACCTTTCTACCCGGAAGAACTTGAGACCCAGAAAACTATCACTGCATACAACTAAGGAGAAAAAGCCCTAAAAGAAGGCCAACAAAACGATCTACTTTCCTGCAAAAGATTATCAACTATTTTTGAAGTTATACCTCAAGTCTTTACTACTGTATGTTTTTTAAGTGAAAAACATTGATATATTATAGAAAATGGTCCTGTGACTCTTAGGCCATTACTCTAACTTTTGCTTATGCAAGCAAATTTAAAATGTAGTTGTCTTAACCACATGTTTTATTTTATTGGAAGAAATTGATTTTTTTTTTTTTTAAAAAAGTTTGACAATCTGACCAAGAGGTCTTTTAACCAAAAAATAAGTGCCCAAGGAAAGCTTTGGATGCAGTATCTTCCTGGGTCTAAGTAACCTACAGCCCTGAAGACAGACACTGTGTATGTTCAAAAAGCGTGCAAAACAGTTGCGATATAGCAAAAAGCATTGAAGTTTTTTTCCAGAAGACAATTCTGTATTTTCAACACTGCCTCAATGCATGTCTTTTAGTATTTATATTAGAAGAATATGCTAGAATTAATCTGTTCGTGCTTTTTTTTTTTTTAAAGCGCCTTCATAGACCTACCCAATGTAGACCAATACATGTTCAGAAATACCATTTAACTTGTAATGCTTCACTACTTCTAGGTTACTTCAATAATTAAATAAAATGGTTGTTTTAAGTCTCCCTTTGGATCGTTTTTAAATATTTCAGTTGTAGGGGAGACTGTGGAGAAGCAGCAAGCCAGCCAGGACTGAGCCCTTCACATGGCAGAACTTCAGCAAACGAGGAATCTGCAAAGCCTTTATATAATACTCCCTTTTCAACAAGGCCAAACACAACGAATAAGAACAATCTTATTTGCCAACTTAGAGCTAATCAGAGACAAATTGTCTCTATTTCCCCAACTTTATTTAAAGAAAAATGGTAATTCACTAGAACAATCAGAATTCAATTTCCTGTTTTCTTTCAAAACAGTAAAATAATATCCATTTCAAACTGCATGCCAGAGGTGTACATAGTTCCTAATAGTATTAAGTAGACAACAGACTAAAATTTTAATCTGTTCATCTTCCAACTTTCCCCAGTCTGTGGTCCGTCTTGGGATCAGCAATAATTGCCTGAACTGCTACAATTGCTTCGTTAATTTTTGTTTGCAGCTCTCGGAGTTCCTCTATATGCAGCAGTCGCAGAATTTGGGCAGCTTCATTGAGAACAGCATCTAGGCGAGTTGCAGAAAGAAGCAGCATAAAGCATTTCTATCTGATATGCTGGTCTCCTTAAGAAAAGCTTAACTTAAAGTTAATGCTCTGTCCTTTGCTCGTGCTTGTGGTTTGCATACTTGAAATAGGAGACTCTGCTTTCCATAATGCTACAGAGAGACAGGGCGCTCTGTGCAAAACCTCACTCAGCTTTGCATAGCCCTTGCAGGAAGCTACAGCCAAGTCTGGTCAATACGAAGCGTCCCTACTAGTAATTTAATTGTCTGAGGGGCAAAAGCAAAGCCTAGCAGAGTCCCAAGTCATCTGACTATTGCTTACAAAATAATTTATCAGGTCATGCCAAATTCTGCTACCTCTAATTAGGTTTAGGTAAATCATCTAACTAAAGCGCATTGACAAAGCACGTTGGTCCCTCTGCTGGTAGAAATAAGGTGGCAACACTAACAAGATGCATTCCTTCTGCATGCAAAAGTGGCTGCCATTACAAGCTGTTATTTAAACCTTAGTCTGAAACCATACCTTGCACAGTTAAGACTTGTGCTTTTCTGTTCAGCAAACACTGCTCAGGAGTGCTTATAGATAGCAAGCCGGAAGGGAGCTACTACAGGCTTCTAGAAGAATTGCGCTTTTTAACTGTACACGTTATCTAGGTATTTAACAGCAAGGTACTTTGTCAAAGGCAAGCATCATTATTTAAAAGTAACCTTTGGAGAACTACTTACCTCCCGTGTCAAAACCAAGAATGTGCTTTTCTAAAGCAACAGGCAAACCCTTTAAAAAGAAAAAAAAAAATCACATTCAGATGTAATTAGAAATGCCATTTCATATGTTTGGAAAATGAAATCAAGAACTACACTAGGCAACTTTGAAACAAAGTACGCTTAAGTTTTGCTTATACAGACAACTGACAGCTTTGAAAAATCATCATATCTGATTACACATGTCCTGGCCTTTATGTCCTGAAACATCAAACAAACTAGGCTACTAACAAAAACTACTAACAGACTATTAACAAAGAAAATCTTCATCCTTAATAATATTCCCTTTACTTGTCCAGTGAATCCCCATTGAATACACGCTGCCTGTATGCAATCCTTAAAAGGTTAAGGACAGCACTGCAAGAGAACACCCAATACAGCAACATCTCTACCGAGACGCAAACAAAAAGCATGTACAACCTAGACTTTCTTAGAAACTGCTGCCTTTAAACAGCTGCCAGACTTCAAAGCACTGACTGTTTTGAAAACAAGTTGTAAAATCGCTGTAATCAAGTGAGCGTCTCAAGTATTGAACTCGCAACCTCCATCAGTCTCCCCAGAAGCATCATCTCCAGTGTTAAGCTCAGGAATAAATACGGGTGTTCAAACTTCTAAACACTTGCTCCATGAGCTAGTGTAAGAAAAAGTTTTATTAGCAGTCATTTGTAAGCATTGCTCTATTTCCTTTACCTTCTCCAGCTGTGGAGGACAGGTCACACTAAACAATCACTCACCATGTTTCAACTTACATGTAAATTTAGATTTATCTAAATAAATAGGAAAAAGCCAATTTTAGAAGACTTTCATTACAGCTTACATAACTTTTTGCAACATTTGCCTTGCACTGCAAAACCTTTGAGTTCCATACAGTTAGTTTCGACAATGACAGGGCCATACACCTAACACGGAGGGCTTTTTAAAAAAAAAAAGCTTTTTTTTTTTTAAATATATGTGAGGGGATCAAAACACAAAGCCATGTTGACCTAAACTAACTCTAACAGCCCATTTTCAGAAAGATTCTTTTCCCATGACCTTCACAGTAAGATGCACGTTCAATTGCAATCTTAAAAATAAATCTGCATTGGAACAGACTGCTGTATTATCACAATTTAAACAGCGCACGACAAGAATGCCATTTATGACACTTCAGACGGATTAAGGCAGTATCAGGCTTCACACATATACTCGTGAAGAAGTTTGATTTGTATTTAAGGCTGCAAAGACCTCACTGCCCTCTAAAGCGTTCTCAGAGCCACGAGAGCAGCAAAACATGGCTTCAGTCAGTTCTTTGTGGACGAATCCCCAGGACCACTGCAGGCACCTCCGATGGCAAGAGGCCGTGGTGGTACTTGCAAAGCAGCCAGTCTTTGGGGCGGCCTGAGCGTGTAACATTTTCCCTCTCCTCCTCCCATCACCCTTGCTGTTAGCTCCTTTTTCGCAGTACACTTTGCTGTCTGCTCCCTCTGGCGACGGTTCTTTTCGATAGAGCAGTAGATCCAGCCTTTCCCAAGCACAAAGTCCCCACAGCCTGTAGCAGTGGTCTCGGAGCAGGCACTTGGCTGTGCAGGAACTCGCAGCTCTAAGAGGTGCACACTCACTCGTGCAGCAGCTTCAAAGGCTTAGAGAAACTAAGAGCACCTTTAAGTCTCCTTTACCATGCAGACCAGTTCATTTCATGACCTCGTTCCCAAGGAAATTCTAATTTAAAACTCCATGGTGGGTGATTACCCTCCACAACTAGTACCTGTAGGCAACCTGCTTATTTTTACAAGTCAGTGCCAGAAGTCTATCCATTTTGGGGCTGCCCAAGACATTTGCTGTGGCCCTGACCGCTACAGCCATCTCCTCCGTAACTGGAAGTGTCAAAAGTAAAACTGGCTTCTCTGGAATGAGGAGAAAGAAGTATGATTCTACACTTACAGCTGACACAGGCACACACTAGTAATACCAGAACAGCCGCTCCATTAATGAACTTACACTACCACGCTAAAAATAAAAAGGGTCCAGAATCTAGGCGAGGGAAAGATTCCTGTGCTGTTGCGCTTTTAAACCTGCCTTGGGCATAGCCGTCAGGAGCTCTAGTCTGTACTCTCAAAGTGATCCTGACGGGCCGTTCTAGTGGCACTTGCTGTGGTTGACCCCACCTAAGATACACTCATCAGGTAAGGAAAGCCCAGAAGGACAGGCTAGGAGAGCTGAGGACTCCCTAATCTGGGGGACAGGGGAGGAAGACAGATTGCACAGCTTTAAGTACATTCTCCACCATCACAGTAACGCAAGGATGAATTATGAAAGGACGGGAAGAGGCCAGAAGCCTGAAAATACTTTGAATTATTTGAGTTCAAACAAGCACTTCCTCTAAAGTCTTCTGTGACTCTTTTACAGAACGGTTCCGATATAAAGCTCTGAAACCGTAAGACACAGTGCACTCTTCACAAAAGCATGCCTGTTTTCATGCCTTAATAGATAGCTTCAGCAACAAGCACAGTATAAATAACGGGAAATGTAAAATTAACATTCTAGAGGTCTGTCAGTATAAATCTGAATCCTGTCTAAACACTGAATACATTGACTTGTCAGCAATTCAGCTTAAAACCTTTAAGAAAAACCTAACTGCCTTTCTTATCTTGAAAACTCTATCTTGACAGACCAACAAAACAAAACTCATTTAGTACTTTTAAAACGCAAGCACAGTAGCGTAAGGTTCCTCAGCACAGGCCCCATACCCATCCTTCAGCCAGAGAACAGCTCTGGGAGCCCCATTTCTACAGGCATCTTATCTTTTCCCCTGGTGCCTTGATATTGCCAAGAATGTAACTCATGACACTTTGTATATTATGCCTTGCCTGTGACGCACAAGTCAAAGGTTATAAACTGTTTCCAGGGACAAGACTTAATATACACAAAGTGTCATCAACTAGTACTTCGGCCATTAAGCAGCCAGCCAAAGTCAGAAGCAGGGGCTTATTTTCCCTCTCCTATCCTGCAACACAACTGTCTTCTCTCCTTTTAAGATATTTTCTTCCTTTATCTAACATATCACGACGCTGATCACCACTGCTGGTCTTTTTTATTTTTAGACAAGTGTTACAGAAGATCCAAGAGCTTTTTGCAGAAACCACGTATTCTCCTGCCCTGGATCCCCAGTTTGCAAAGTCACTCAGGTGCAGGCAAATGTTCCATGCACGCAGATAAAGCTGTGCCCCTGCCTCCAACTCCCTGCCTTTTCTCCACCTCCACCCCATTTGAAATTCAGCATGCAGAATGAGAATACGCTCCCAAGAATGCATATTACAGTCAGCGACACTCAACCTAAGATCTTGAGAACCTATCAAACATGAAAAATGCTTTGTCACACACAAAAAACCCAAAACCCTTATTTCTTCAGGAAGCTTATTCTGATAAACCCATGGGAAATCCCATTTTGAGTCCTGAATGCCAGCATTGCTGCTACATAAAAATCAGCAAAAAAAAAGTAGCTTTTTATTAATGTCACTTTCTCTAAAGTGAAATTAATACAGCAGTCTCAGCTGCCTACAGATTTTATGCTCTTTTTCCAGTCCTGACTTGCTGTCCCAGTGCTTCTGGCAATCACTGTACTGCAACTCTGAGCACCTGCAATTGCCACTTAGTGAACATCATAAGCGGTGTTATGATAATAAATAAAGCATGCCCTGCACTAAGCAGCTGCCTGAAAAGATGAAGGGACTTGTCCTCCCTGATCAGATCTAGTTGCTCTAATAGGGAACTTCTGAGCACATATCTGACGGCAAAGAGAGGCCGCCTTCCTCGGCTGCACCCGATGCTGTCTGAGAGCAGCTGCTGTGCCAAACGTTAGAAAGAAGAGCTGGAGAACTGGGATGTTTAAGAAACAATAATCTGGAAAACCACAATCATTCCCTGTGAGTGGCTGGAGTACTATTCATTGGGTCTACAAACAACATCTTACAAACTGACAGCTCGTGGTTAGAAAGTAATTCTGCAAAAGTAGTTTTGCACTGTACTACTATTCAGCTCAGAGGCTTAATTGTAGACTTCTAAGCTTCCTTCATCATTTCTCATTTGGGAAGGCAGAGAACAGCTGGGTGCCCAGCATCCCCTTCCTTAAATACACGAGGGGTAAAAAGCAACACGTTCCGTACAAGGAATGTTTTGCTTATTAATAGCCAACACTGCTACTTCGAAGGAGAAAACAGTTCATACATGTACTTCCTCTGACATTGTAGGCCTACCGCTCTGAACAGAAACGATAATCATCTAGCATATGCTAAACTAGGAAAACAGCTATTTACCTGAGACGTCACACAGGTACCTAGAGTTGCACATAACAGCAAAAAAGAACACTTTGTACACTCCCCATAATTCTTCTCCGGGTCTTTTAAAGTCAGCATTGCTAATATAAAGCAAGCTTCCACCACCTCTCCTAAATCAACAATGTTTAAACAGAACCCAGGTTGACTGTCTGAGATGCGATGTTTAAGCCTACACTGTTTATTGGCTAGTGGAACAATTAACACCAGATAGGCTTGTGCATTGCATATACGAACCTCCTTGGACTGATTCGCCTTCGCTATGGCATCCTGCGTCAAGCGCTCTTGAACCAAAATGCGAATTGCCTAGGAAAAAACATTTAAAGGCCAAAGTAATTCAATTATGTCTTAATGCACTTCTCTGCAACACCAAGGGAAAAGGAGCCAGCATTAAAACCCAGTACAATCTCGAACACGCAGTTTTGTGAAAGACTTTTTGGAAAACTCTTTCAGACCTTAAACTCTTTTTCAAATTGCACTACTCTGCAAGTATTTTCCTTCCACAGGTTGACTCTCTGCTTCTGGGAAGGCAGTGTAACCAGAAGAGGTCAGGATATTGCACTGTTACCGTTAGCCATCACTGGGCCAGAAACTCTGCAAAGCGCTAGGAATAGCCAAGAAAGTTTGCCACTCCCAGAATGACTTGATCAGGATCCCAAAGCCGCAGTGCCATTTTTTGAGGCTGCACTGCCTGGAAAAGAACCCCTTAATTCTGCAGCAACACAGCTTCTTCAGGAAGGAGTTCCTGCTACCAGGATCTTTCGGTAGGCACTGAATCATCTTGTACCAGCAGAGAAGCCTGGAGCAAGGCTATCAACCCAGGTTTTAAAAAGATTAACACACAAAAAAGAATTATTTTTAGACACACACAAAATAACAGACTTGACAATCGTTGCTGCTCATCTATTTTTACTGGCTCTGGTACACAGCATGAAATCATATCAGAGCTATCAGTTACTGATACCTACAGCTGTAAATGCCTCTAAAAATAGCTCAAGGAAAACCACACAGGCAGACTCGCACCAAAAAGAACTCCGTCTGTCAAATACATTCCTCAGACTGCTTCCCTGCTGAGTATCTGAGTGTGACAGAAGTCTTACTGCTTCACGTTTCTCCTCCAAGATTTCTCCTGGTTTTGGTCGTGATTAAAGTTGAGAGGCAATACTGTGACTTTGCCCCTGGGTACCATTACAAATCTCCTTTCTAACTAGACAGAGCAGCCTTGAGGCAAAAGTGATTCAATCAGGAGTTTACTTTTTATATTCCAGCACCGAAACTAGATTTTGCAGAAGAGAATTTTGAGTAACTTTTGCATTAGGAAAATGATATCCAACATTAGTATATGGAACCAAAAATGCTTTCTGATCAACTTCTCTAATTAATAAAATGGACGCCAAATATGTCTCTGCTCACTCTGGTCAGGGTCTGGCCAGCTGTCTACGGCATATTTGCACTCTTTAGCCTTCCTAAGCATCCATTCCATATCCAAGCCTGAATACAGATCACAACTTCTATGCGCGGGCGTTGTAAGAAACCATATTATCGTGGTGAGGAATAAGAGTTCCACTGATGCATTCCAATATCATCAAGCCTTCAGAACTAGCATTACAGTTGGGCATGTAACACGAATTGCTACTGCAGGAACCTACTCTCACTGTAATTAAAAGAAAATTTAGGGTGGAGGCTTTGTCCAATTACTTTGGATAAAGAAAACAGTGAGCAGAAGTGTGGAAAGAATGACAAAGTGTAAAAACATTCATGCAGAAAACACTTGCACTTTTTCTGAATTGTTAGTACCAGGTTTGGCAAATCCACTTAAAGCTCGTTAGCCTCGAGATAATCCTGTAAGAAGAGCTCAAGGGATTTTCTGCTGCAGATCCCCAGCAGTGGCATTCACGAGGTCTCTCTCTTTACCTGCTACCTCTTTTCACCAAGTTTGTAGGGGTTTGATACCAGAGACCTCCAACCCTCCGTGAAGTATTGTGAAGAGTTCAAAAGCTATTTCAGGAAGGCAAAGAGGGTAGCATGCTGGAGAGAAGCAGCAAGTGACTGACAGGATGACTGCAGGGCCTCATTTCCCTTAGGAAACCAGGCTAAAGTGATAAGACTGCTCAAATATAGCTTTTATAGACTCAGACTGTACAGACTTCAATACCCAGAGCATTAGTTTCTCCAAAATAAATCTAGCAAAGATCACAGCTTCTCTAATGAATGGGCCTTATTCTTTTGTTTTTCAGTGAAGCACCAAGTTTATTTTAGTGCTAAACAAAATTTTTTATAGCTTTATGACATGATCAAGCAGGAACTCAGGATTGCTGCCAACTCACTAAATACAGGGCTTTAAGAATATAGCTTTGATCTGAAATTTGCACATAACTACAGCTCTACCACTAAGTCACAGATTTTCTCCCAATTATTAGAAAGATACTTTATAAAATTAATTAGCCTATTTGCTGCATTTAGAAGTTACGATTAACTGTCAAGATTAAACTAAACTGAATTTAATTATGACAAAGAATAAACAGTTCATGGGAACATGACAAGGGGTAGTGGTAGGGTGTGGTTTGACTATTTCTTTTTTTTTTTTTTTTTAAAGAAAATAAACATCCTTTGCATTACTTGCTTCTATGTTCTCCAGTTACTCCTTCCATTTCTAGAGCTGGAATACAATAAACTACTTTGAGTGTACTCCTCAATATTTCTGAGGGATGTGAAGACCTTAAAATAAAGTTCATAAAAGCAGTAGCTTTTGCTTGGCCAGAGCACTTCAATTTCTGAACAACAGTTCTCAATCAGTTTTGCAGTTCCATGAACTCAAGGTACAAGTGACCTGTTTACGAAGGTAATTATCCATGCATTAACTCCCCATGATTTATGTTGTGTGTTCCCATCTGCTTGAAAAGGCACACATACTTTCCACTTGTTCCTAAAAAGTCAAAGCTATCAGTAACAGCGCACCCCAAGTTATTCCACATACGCTAGCCTTTGGTGGGGATGGGAGAGAAGAGAATGAAAGTTGGAAAACTCACCTTAAGCATTACCAAGTAATCATCGTGTCGCTGGATCTGAAGTAGATTAGCTAAAGCCATCACTCCAGCCTTGAAATCAGGATTATTCACTGTAAAATAAATACACTATTTTAACTGGCTCCAAAAGACAGAATTTGCTTCCTGGCTCCGTGGTATCAGACTGCTCTCAAGCATGGGCAAGGCCATGGACATACAGTAGTGAGCAGCCACTTAGTCACCATGGACATAGAAGGGAGGGGCTGGATCTGGTGTAAGGTTTAATCTGTATCCTCTTTCATGAAGTTATACAAAGCATTCCAAGTGCGCCACTAGGCTGTATAACCAGACTGCCCAAGACACTGAAAGCACAGAAAATGTTGTTTTCAATGTAAAACACATTATACCACAGGAAGTTCCATCTGAACCTGAGAAAAAACTTCTTCACTGTGAGGGTGACAGAGCATTGGAACAGGTTGCCCAGAGAGGTGGTGGAGTCTCCTTCGCTGGAGATATTCAAAATCCGTCTGGATGTGATCCTGGGCAATATGCTCTAGGTGACCCTGCTTGAACAGGGAGGTTGGACTAGCTGATCTCCAGAGGTCCCATCCAACCTAAACGATTCTGTGATTCTCTGATATGAAGGTTCTACAGCATAGGAAGCCAGTGCAAGCCTTTAAAAAGAAAGCCAATAGCATGAAGAATTTGTTCTCTTTTGTAAATCTTTCTATCACTTAGCTGCAGAACAGAACCGCGCCTGCTGGGTGAGGGCAAGGCTAATTCTTAGTTGTCTTTCTGTGGAAGGAGCAATGGGGGAAGACTTGGGGACTGGGCGCTAATTTCAGTAGCTACGTTACACCAGTGTCACTTATTATGAACATGCCCAGCAGTCAAGAAAATTACACTGATCATAAGAAAGGTACAACAGGGCAGGGGGAGGAAAGGGTAAGACAGAGACAACATGTAACAGGTGACAGTACTGAAGTAAGCAGCTTGTCACCACGTTTTCTTGTTGTTGTTTTTAACTAAGATAGGTCAGTGTCCTAAGAGCTGTTTTGCTACTCCACCCGAGTCCACAAGAAGTACATTCATGTCTTCCAGAGTGCTCTCTGCAGAGCTGTTAGTGTAAACGCCCTTCAGTTGCTTCCTCGTTGCCTGACAGAGAGGCAACGGGCACAAACTCAAACACAGGAAGTTCCCTCCGAAATTAAGGAAAAACTTCTCTACTGTGAGGGTGACAGAGTAGAACGGGTGGTCCAGTCACAACCGGAACAGGTTGCCTAGAAAGGCTGTGGAGTCTCCTTCCTTGGAGGTATGCAAAAGCTGTCTGGACACGCTCTTCAGCTACATGCACTAGGTGATTCTGCTTGAGCAGGGGGGTTGGACTAGATGATCTCCAGAGGTCCCTCCCAATCTCAACTATTCCGTGATGAGAACCCCCTTGCCACATTCATATCTGATCAAGTCTCCAGGCACCTCGTCCTGCTGGCAAAGATTTTCCCCTCCTGCCTTTCCCCAACAGGAAAAGACACCTGGGATTCATATGGAGTAGGTTCCTCTTTCCTTTAGTAGGGGTGCAGAAAAGAATAAAATAACTCTCAAACCACTGTTCACACAGAAACAGTTCTGAGACAGCAGTAAAAAAAAAAAAAAAAACACCCCTGCAATTCTAAAGCTTAAATATGACTTTAAAAGGTTACATGTATCACAATGCTGTAACAGCTTAAAATCCCAAGAACGTTACAGAGGCCATGGAACACACTCATGTATGACGCATCTCTGCGGTACGTTACCTCACACTTACCATCCAAGTTAATCAGTGGCTCTGCATTTTTTGCCGTATTGTCAGCATTTTTAGCACCATCAGGGGTAGAGTCCTTATACTTATCGGCTGTTGAAATAAGAAGCAAATATAATTATCATTAGGGCTCACGGCAAAAACAACAAGTCAGAAGTTTAGAACCAAGTGCAGTTTGTGTCACCTGCATTTCTGGCATGTGGCATATGCCAAAGAACGTTACCAGCGCATATGGTGCGGTTTTGGAGCTCCTCTACTAAAGCCCTAGTAGGTTGCGAATCTAGTGAGCTGTTCTAACAGCTCCCATCTGCACAAGATTTATGTATTCCCAGAGCAGGGTCAGAGCATCCTCCACGCTTGGGCAGGGCATTACACTCTTGATTAAGGTTCTTCCTACAGTCTTCATCCCAGAAAAGCAAGGCTGAACAATCTGCACCTTGCAGTTCTACTGTTTTTAAAATACAGCAATTCAGCTAACACTGGAGGCACTTTACCTTAACCAGCAGTGCTCACAGTGATTTTTTTAAAATGGGATCAAGAATTACAAATTTCAGTTGCTTCCGATCAGAGTAGAACATTTCCAGGGGAGGCTTTGTTTTACAGAAGATAGCATTCACATGTGACCCACACGTGTCTTTCAGCCCTTCAGAGAATGGGACCTCTGCTGGCTCCTCCATCTTCATGCAGCCCTAAGTCAAAGGCAGCCTTCTCCAACATGAGGGACTGAGAACCAGCTCTACAAGCTGCAAGCACTTAGATCCCTTCCTTGTCCTGGCCAGTGCTCAGCTCTGCAGCAATTAAAGGTAATGGAAAACAGTGCTTTGGCCATTATAAAGTCTCAGCTTAAGAAAACTAAACCTCTGCTGACAGTTAACTTTTCCACAACCTTCTGGTTCCCCAGGGCTCAGGGGTTACATCTTGTGTAACATGAGGCAAGAATAACTTATTGGAATCTTAGTACTAAAGAAAATGCATTTAGTACATTTTAGAATAAGTTCTTATAAAGACAGTCCCACAGGAGAAAGGTATAAATACATACAATGGCTTCTGCTATATCCAGGAATAAGGTAACAAATGTGAGTATATTGCTGCATTGTTTCAGGGGAGCTGAGCTGAGCTGAAGAGAAACAGCTCATATCTGAATCTGGTGCAAAACCAAGTAGACTAAGCTATATTTTTTAAAATACATACGTTTTACATTGTCTTAATTTGACAAATACTCTTTAAAAAGGGACAAAATAAGTTCCCCTATCATTGTGAGATACGAAGTGATTTCAATCATACCATTATCTCCATACTCAAGCCTAACTGCTAATCCAAGAAGCCAGTCCACTGTTTCTTGTCGTTCTTGCATTTTGAAAGGACAGTTTACATCTTTCATATACTGCGGAGTAGAAAGAGGAGAAAAATAGATGTTACTGACTGGAAGGAAGTACTTGTATGAATTAGCTGGGAGTGCAGAAGTGTTTTGTAAACAATTACTTCCCTACAGATCTTAAGGTTGCTAGAAGATAATTACTAGTAAGAAGGAGCATTATTAAGTGTCCTACTGCAGGATCTGATCCACCTAAGGCATTTAAGAGCACCCCAATCCACCGCTAACTGGACCCTGCCATTTAATAACAGCACTTGCTCTTTTAACCAGTAAACGAAGCTATTCGCTGTCAGACTGACAACCAAAGAAAGCAAAGATACTCCTTTCTTTGTTCAATTTACATATTGAGTGGAGGCGAGACTGTCATGCAGTCGCTACTCCAGCACCACCACCACTGGAGGGAAAGGGGAACAGGGGCTGGCACAGCACAAGTAGGCAGGAAGAGTTGTTCCCCGCTGTTGGGAAGAGGCACGGGAGGAAGACAAGGTGAGAAGAACAGTCCGGCCAGGTCAAGAAAGATGACACGGAGCTGCAGTACTACAACACTCGTACTGCTGATACCACAACAGCATCAGCAGCCAGTAGTTCTGATATCACATGTATTTAAAACTCCTAACATTACCCTGACATCAACTTTGGATCTTTTCTTTAGGCTCCCTCCTGCAAAGGTGCCAAATCCAATCCTTCTGGACAGCAAACCAGGCAAAAAGTTCCAGTGAAATAAAGACAATTTACATGCAACTAGCATTACGGAGCAGCATTTTCACCTCCTTGCAAGGCTGTTTTTTTAAAAAGAGGACGTGGGAACCTAGAGGGAAAGCTAGAACAGCTCCATGGTGACTCAAAATGCTCATGAGCACACAGGAGATCACTCACATAACTATGGATTTGTGCCAGGCTTCGTGCAAGCAGTGGAAAAATCATCCATCTGAAATCTACTGCAGCTTTTCTGGGCAGCTGCTGTTCTTTCTTTTATATGCTTGCAAAGTCTAAGACTGCATTAGCCTGATCCATTTTACTTTTGGTACACAAAAACACTAATGCAGAAAAAGCTGTTATTTGTAGTCAATTCTCTTCCTCTATCAAAAGCAGAATCAATTCAGGTAAGAAACAGACTAAGAAACCAGCTACTGCAAAACCATGTTGAATGAAAATTATGTACAAGAAGTTCTACCATCTTAATATCTGCTATAGTTCGGCTTCAATTATACATTTACGTTACGGGAAGTGTAAAAGTTCAGGGAAAGGACAAATATTCACAGTAATTCACATTCTACAACTACAGAAGCTATTTATCATTATTTACACAAGACAGCTTCACAGCTTAAATTTGTGCCTGAAACAACAAAATACCTTTTCAAAAGATTTGGGCCAATCATCACTATGTATGTTCCTTAGGTTCCCTCGGTCTTCAATCTTGTAGTGCCTGATTTTCTGGTCTTCAAGCCAGACAATAAAGTTTCTGAATTCTGTTTCATCTATAGAGAGAAACAAAACACACAAGAATCAACAAATATTTCAAGGGCAAAACCCAGCCCTTGAATTCTGATGCATCTCATTCAGTGTTTTACCACAATGAAAGATGCATCTACCACTGAAACTGTATTTCAGGATAACCTCTGACCAAAACTCAGCACTATGAGTGTTTTTTTATTTTCAAGTCACCTAATTGTCTATGGTTGACCAACTAAACTAAAATATATCAACCAACAGATTGTTGTTAGGTAAAGAAAGAAAAGTAAAACAATGATATGGAGAAATTCAGTTACTAACCCTGTTGCCTAGACAAACATATCACATGTTGCAATAACACCCAGTCTTTTCTAAAGAACAATACACACACATCCCGTGACTCTGCAAAGGTATTTTTTCATTGTTGTTGACTCAACATTTTACCATTTGGAGTCAGAATTCCACAATACAAAGACCGTGGTCCAAACAATAATGTTAGTACAGGACAAAGTAATTATTTTGCACCTGCTCTTCAGTGACAGAATTTATTTCTAGACACAGGAAATCACAGCCCTAGAGTACTACTGCCCCCTCAAAATAAGTGGTAACACTTCGGCATTGGGTGAGTTTTAATATCCTGAGGCAGTTTCTCCTGCAACTCAGCCTGGGTTAACAATACCATGCTTCCATCAGGAAGAAGAACGTTATTCCTATTCCTCAGCAGCGTCTTCTGAGAGACATAAGTGCCCTATTTCTGTTGAATGCACTTTAAGAAACAGACACAGAGTCACAACATGTGCGAAGAAAAGCTTTCACTAAGACACTTAAAGATTAGCAGAATTAAGCTTTTTTTTTTTAAGAAGCTAATTACAAAGAAGTTTAGATACACAAGAAAAGATGATGGCAGTAGACAACCTCTTGAAGGAGAAGCCAGTCTACCTGAATCATTAAAAGGCAGTCTAGGAAAAAGATTGCTTAAAGCATACAATTGATCACACTGGCTAAATACATATTTCATACTGCTCTTTTGAACAACAACAGAAAATTAAGGTTGCAAGAAAAAAAAAAAATCAAAGTATTAACACACATCAACGTATTAAGAGCTAACAAGGTTACCACGCTACTGTTAGTGCACAGAACAAACCACATTCCTGGGACGAGGCAGGTTCATAGAGCAACTAAGGGTGCGTCCTGCAGGACCGGTGACACCTGCTTCCTGCGTTACCGAAAGGCAAGACGTAACGAGGGCAGGCCAAGGACTGCCAGGAGCTTACCTCAGCTTTGCCCCAGGCTACGGGATTCTACCTTTGCTTTTGCTCCGTTTCTACACGATAGTGAAAAACCTGCTAGAACCAAGCTACCCACGGGCGACCGCTACAACACCCGGTGGCCCTGAATTTCCCAAGAGAAAGAGAATTTTCCTTGAACGAGAAGCACTGTCCGCCATGACCAAAGCGAGCTGCGGCTGAACTCCGACCTCGGGGAGCTGCCTCACACAGGCTGCAAGGCCCACACCGCACCTCACCAGTTCGCAGCCGCTTTCACCCTGTTTTTTTCCCCTTCTTTTCCGGCCCCCGGGAGCAGCCCCGCCGCGCAGCAGCCCCACTCCAAGGGGCGAAACGTCGAGGCAACAAGAGCGGGGAAACAAAAACACCTCTGGGCCCGGGGGCCTAGTGCGGGAGGGAAACGGCTGCTAGCGGGGCCGCGCAAAGGCCCGGTGAAGCCCGCCCAGGCCCTCACCCCTG